CAGTTCCCCCAGACCTGGACTGGAAGGGCCAGCCCCCTGCACCCCCCAAGAAGGGACTGCTGCAGAGACTCTTCAGTCGCCAGGTAACCCCAGTAGTGTCCTCCCTGGGCCCCAGCCTTGCTCCAGGGGATGGTGGGTGGGAAGCCGGGCCAGTGCCCGCATGTGCTGTGAGTGGGCTTCCTCCAGCCGTGCCAGTGGTACCCAGGGTCTCTGGTCTCATTCCCGCCCATCCCCCACCTCTGGCTGGGCTCATGGCCTCTTTTCTCTTTCCAGAGGTGAGCAGTGTAGGCTCCCCGTGGGTTGGCTTTGCTGCCTGGCCTCGGGGAGCCACGGGCAGCCCTTCCATGGCAGAGGCGAGATGTGGGAGAAAGAAGTCCGGTGCCCGCTCCCCACCTTACCCTCCCCACTGCTTTCGTTCCCTGCACCCCGGCACCTTCAAGCTGCTAGCCTTGCTTAGCCATCTGTTTCCCCATGCCCTGCCTTCAGCTGCCCCAGAGAAGAGCAGCTTGATGGAGCCCTGCCCTGGCAAAGCCTGGATTCCACCTGGTCCCCCTTACTTCAGCCTGTAGTTGGCAGCCCCTGCACCAAGGTGTGGCCTGAGCTGCTGCTCCAGGCCCCTCGTGGGAGGTCCCCTCCCCAGAGCATGGCCCACTCAATGATGGCACTGGTGGCTAACAGCGCTTGCTCTGCCTCTCTCCCTCTGTGTCTTCCCCGCCCTCCAGGACTGCTGTGGGAACTGCAGCGACAGTGAAGAAGAGCTCCCCACCCGCCTCTAGCCCCCAGTCTGAGGCCCCCACCGGCGGTTGGCGGTAGCAGCTACTTCGAGTGCTGTTTACAGTTTTGCACAGTGGTCCTCCCCATTGTCCACTCAAGTTGTGGCCTGGGGAACACAGCCGGAGCTGTCCCCAGTGTTCTCTGCCCCTCAGCCCGCAGTCTGGCTGAGTTTGGCAAGGCCTAGGCTGTCCTTGGGACAAAGGTGCGTCCCTTCAGCTCTTGTCCGTGGAGCTCGGGGCTTTCTGTATTTATGTATTTGTACGAATGTATATAGTGACTAGAGCATTCTGAAGACCCACGCTGGAGCTGGCAGAGGGGCCACTGCCAAACTCAAGGCTCCTCAGGCCCCTGAGCCCCCAGCACTGTGCTCACCGCCGCCGACCTCCGAGTGAGACTCGTGCCTGCCTCTGCTGCCCTAGCTCAGGCCACCGCCTCGGGCCCAATGCTGTCCCTTCTCAGCACCTGTCAGAGCTGGGCCTGGGGCATGTGCCAAAGTATGAACAGAGATTGGGCTGACTCTGGGGCCCAGCAGTCCACTGCCCAGGCTGTCCCAGAGGGGTGTGCCTCTGCCTTCCAGCTCCCAGGGCACCTTGTCCCTCATGTTGTGCCCTGTCCTGAAGACACCTCTTGCAGAAATGCCCCATCCCAGGCGGGGAAAGGGGGTGTCCCTGGCCAACCCTCAAACATTCCAGACTTCTCTCATAACAATAGACACATGTGCCCAGCAATAATCCACCCCTCCCTCTGCGCGTGCATGTGTGTGTGTGTGTGTGTGTGTGTGTGTGTGTGTGTGTGTGTGTGTGTGTGAAGGGGGCAGACTGAGGTTGTGTGCCTATACGCCAGGCCCCACCCAGCCCTTCCCAGACTGGATAGCCATCCTGGTCCCAGTGTTGGAGTAGCATGGGATTACAGGACCCTGGTTTTTCCATATTTAAAGCCAAGTTTTATTACTCATTTTGTCCAATGTAAGCTGCCATGTGTCTCTATGTGAATACAGTCTGAGCACAAAGCTGGCCTGCTGCCCCTGCCTGCCTCTTTCTTGCTCCTGGTGCTCGGCCGGTCTTCCTTCTTCCCTGGATCTGCTGGAAGTGGGAAGGGATTGGAGGTGGGTCTGGTGGGGGCTGCCCTTCTAGCAAGGGCCAGGAGTTCCCAGGGTGACCTTGGGGCAGCCTCTCCAAGCATTCAGGCCTTTGGGTTTCTTAGCTTCCTACATGGGATGAGGCCTGAGGGAATTGGGTCCCCACCAAAGTGTGGGTCTGGCTTTGCCTGATTGAGAGGCAGGCTCAGCTGGCAATATCCCCTCCAAGGCCAAGGTGGCCTGGCCCTCAATTGTGGACTTGGAGCAGCCAGGGGAGTGAGGTGGAGCTGCTGTTAGAAACACCTGCCCAGTCTGTCTCACCTGGACGCCTGCTGTGTGCCTGGCCCAGGGCCAGTGCACGTGCAGTAGAGCCATCCCTCTGCTTTGCCCTTGAAGCAGGGAATGTGGCCAGGCAAAGACGAGACAATGGCAATACTGGGCATTAGGCTGTAGCAGAGGCATGTGGGCATCAGAAAGGGTCTTCTGAAGATAGAAGTTGAAGCAGGCCTTTGAGACATTCAGCTGGGAACAGAGGGATTAGGAGAGCATACCATTCCATAGCATTCAAAGTGCAAAGACTTAGCAGGGGGGCAGGGGAGGGCACGCGACAGCCTGTTAACCACAAGTCTGTCCCAGTCTTAACAAACCTGTTGTTTGATAATCTCCCAGTGACCTCAGCCACACACATACCCATGCCCTGTGCCACCATAAGAGTTTGCTTATTGCCTCTGGGCTGGGTACCCCCTGCCATAGACCACATGAGCTTTGCTGTTGGTTCTGGATTCAAGTCCCAGCCTAGTCACTTTGCCAGATGGGAAGATGAGTGTGATACCTATTGCCTCACAAGGCGGCTATGAATGAGAAGTAGCCAGTCACCCCTCCCCTTGAGCCCCTAGGTCACTAACAGGACTGGATACCAAGCTGACAGTTATCTCAGGCAGTCAGAAAGAAAACTCCAAGCAACAACTTAGAAGATGGGGTCTCTTGGGCTATCTCAGGTCTTGATGGTGAGTGGAGTGTGCTCTTCTATTAACTTGAGGGAAACAGAGTAAGGAAAGGGCCTTGCCAAGCTCTTCCAGCTGGTGAGTGGCTGTTGCAGGGCAAAGGAAGGCAGCTGAAGATGAAGCTGGATCCTGCCCATGAGGTTAGGGCCCAAGGTACACTTTCCTCTCTGCGTCAGGCTCTGGGAGGAAGGGCAGTGAGGAGGTATCAGCATGCAGAGGCTGAAGCCCAGCCCTCGGCAGGTGTGAGTGGGTGTCAGGTGGATAGGAAGGACCCTGTGGCACACTACTGCAGTGGGTCCAGATCTCCCACCACCCTTCCCCTTGGGATAGGGAAGCATCCAGGAAACTTCTTGGCTAGGATTCAGCGTACCTTAAAGCGCACAGTGCACCACTGGCAGAGGAAACTTGGAATCACTTCCCAACAAGTCTTCCTGAGCTCACCTGCTCTGAGAGGGAGCTGGGGACTCGAAGATAAGCTTGGAGCTAAGTCTGGTAAGGAGGCAGACATGGGAATAGTGGGAGCCAGTGTGAGCAGGTGGCAGAAATCATTTAAGAGCTGGCAGGGCTGGGACTAGGGAGGGAAGGCCCTTTGGCTACAAAGGTGTCAGAGTTGGTGCCCTCCAACACACAGGACCAGATGTATCTGGATAGTCTAGGGCCGTGGTCGGCAAACTACGGCTCGTGAGCCACATGTGGCTCTTTGGCCCCTTGAGTGTGGCCCTTCCTAAGCCTTAGGAGTACCCTAATTAATAACAATGTACCTACCTATATAGTTTAAGTTTAAAAAATTTGGCTCTCAAAAGAAATTTCAATTGTCGTACTGTTGATATTTGGCTCTGTTGACTAATGAGTTTGCCGACCACTGGTCTAGGGCCTCTAGTGGTTTAAGATGGCTAAACATGAGGTGGGGTGGGTGAGGTGTGGAAGAAGGGAGTGCCTGGAGCTGAGGTCAGTGAGATACAGCCATGTATGGCTTTGGAAGCAGTAACTTGGGGTCTCATCTGGAAGGCAGTGGAAGAGTGCCTGCCCAGCATGTACAAAAGCACCCCAAGTTTCCTTTGGGAAACTCTCCACTCAGTCCGTGTGGTTTCGATGGGGCGGGGTTTGCACCCACTGCACACACACATCACAGACACCTAGAGCTGTGTGACAGGTGGGGCTGTTGGGGATCTTTGGTTGCAAGGTAGAAAGTGTTTTTGTTTTTTAAAGAAAGGATGGGAGGGAGCTGATTGACAGGAAGAAGACTGGGGCGGCTCCAGGGCCTTAGTCGCAGACCCGATTCTCCCAGAAGGAGGATGCTACAATCACGTTCATGTCTGCATTGCTGACATAAACCCAAGGAATCTGAATAACCAGACTAGAAACCTGCCCACTGTGCATCCGGAGAGTAGGGCACTTGGGTTAATAGGTCCACCATGATGACATCCCTGGGACACAATGATTCCTACCCCACCCCCCAACCCCCCAAATAGAGAACCTAAGAGTCGTAAGACAGCCAGGTTCTGGCTCAGCCTAAACAGTGAGGCCATCACTAGGGCTCAATTCTGTTGCCGGGGATGAGCAGGGTCCATGGAATCCAGCGCTATGGATCAAGCACTGGGTTCTGCTATTTCTAAGTAGGCATGTGGTGATGTAGGCTTGCTGGAGACACAGTGGGAGCGGCCTTGAGGCCGTGAATTCATGGTTGGCGCCACACTCGGGTACCTGCTGGCTCCAACCCCTGCCCACTGCAAGCGTGCAGAGCCTGTCAGTATATGGCCAGTGCCTGGACATGCGTCTGCTCTCCGGGCTGCGGGGTGGGTGTGTGTGGTGTCTAGACCTCAGCTGCTTGGCTGAGCATCCCGTGTGCTCGGCTGATGGTGTGCACTGGGTTTGCCTGCATATGCCAGGCCCAGAAAGCCTGTTGCTAGGTGTGCGGCGCGGCGAGCGCATTCCCTGTGCCAGGGGTGCCCGGCTCGGCAGGTGGGTGCGGATCCTCCGCCTTTGGCTCCCGGGACTGTCTCCTCCGCCGCGAGGTGTGGGGGGCAGGGGCCCGCGGCTGGCGGCCGCGCGCGCGCACGCCGGGCTCAGGACGCGCCGTGTACGCGTCCGTGCGCGCGCCCCGCGGCTCCAGCCCCTCGCTCGGAGCCGCCTTCGCTGCCACAGTCCGCTTCCCGGGGCTGCTGTCGCCTCCCCCCGGCCGGGGGCTTTGTCCGCGGGGCCCGCGCCGCTCTCCCGGAGCCAGGACGACGAGCTCGAGGAAGATGCCTGGGCCCGTGAGTACCGCGGCGGCGGCGGCGAGCCGGTGGGCAGGCAGTGCGGGCGGAAGACAGTCCCGGGGCCACCCCCCTTCCCGCGGACGGCTCCGCGCCCGGGCCCGGGTCGCCGCCTTGGACCCCGGCCCCGGCCAGCCCCTCTCCCAGCCCCCACGGCAGGGAGGGAGGGAAGGAGAGGGAGGGCGCCAGTGAGCGAGGGAGCCGGAGCGGGGCGCGAGCAGCCACTGGTTCGCTTGGAAACGGTTGTCACAGCAACGGGGTTTCGCTCCTCGGTAACGCGACTGTGGGGCGGCGACACCCTCTCCCAGCCCTCCCCCACCCCATGCGGGGCCTCAGCCCCCGGGCACAGGAGGAGAGGGGATGCGGGGACTAGCCCTCTCACGGTTGGGGCGGGGGACTTCGCCCCTCTGGCCCGTTTGGGTGTGCCTGCCTCCACAACCCGTCGAGGCTGGGGGGGGGGGGGGGGTGAGCGCACCTTGGAGCAAGATTTGGCTCCCACGTGGCTGCAGTCGTCGCAGCGGGGCCCCTGGGGTGGCAAAGGTAGGGGGGCCCTGGCAGGAAGAGGCATGGAAGCTGGATCTGGATCCCGCCACCCCCACCTGCCTTTGAAATGGCCCAACCCGAGCTGGGTACCCCATAGATGATGTTTCTTACCAGGGGAGAGGAGAGGGCAGAAGCTCGAATCTCTCGTCCTCCTGGCCAGGGCATGTGCCAAACGTGGCTTGGGCCGGTGGTGGGTCTGTACTACTCATTCCAAACCACCTTTCTGCAGGGAGGGGTGGGAGCAGCGTGTGCAGGGGCAGAGGAAAGGACTTTGCTGACCCGGGCCAGATGGGAGCACCCCAGCCCATTGTCTGGATCACAAGTGTCCCTATCTTATCTGAGCACAAAGCCCAAACTGTGCTGGGTGGCATGCAGGTTGGCTGCAGGCTGGCCAGTGCCACATGGAGATGCCCTGACCCAGGGAGCTCCTCTGGACAGAGAATGGCAGCAGAGTCAGAGGAAATGACCTCTGGCTCCCACCCAACCTCCCCTCAGTGTCAATGTGCTGGAGAGAGAAATGGCCCTCCAGCCAGCTCTCCTGGGTCTGACTCAGCAGATGCCGTCCCCTACTGACCACAGGCCTCGACCACAACCGCCACCCCTGGCTTTCCCTTCCCACCCAGGGTGATGTCCTGGGCACCAGAAGTGACCATTACCCTGGGCATTGAGACGTTGGCATAGATGTCCATGGATGAGTGGTGCCCTGAGCCAGGCCCAAGTCTCCTTCCCACAGACAGTAGGCCTCTGGAATGATTCACAGGCCTTTTTCATTCTCTTTCTGCTTGGGGGTCAGGGCTCTGCATCCATTATTCCTAATCCTTACAACAGTTTTGCAAGGTAAGTTTATTACCCCATTGTAGCATTGAAGATTCCTGAGGCTCTGGGAGGTAGTGACTTGCCCGAGGTCACACAACCAGTCAGAGTGGAGCTAGGTTTCCAGGGCTGGTTCTGCTGGCATCACCCCTCTGCCTGCTACACATCTCCTGTGAGCCAGGCAGGAAAGAACTGTGGAGCTTTCTAGAGGAACATCCTTAGCCTTCTTTCACATTCCTCCAGTGAGCAAATGCGGTCTTTCCTGCCTTGGTGCACCTTCTTCCAGAAATAGCCAGATTTTGCTCCCTGAGATGCTCCACAGGACTGGTCTGCTGCCAGGCTGGCTCCCACCCACCCTCCCTCCATTTTCTCTCTCTGGGGAAGACCAAGCAGTGAGGTTTGCCTCAGTATCCTGGGAATCTCCCAAGGTTCTAGTTCTTAGTTTTTGGCCTGATCACAGAGCAGCTGTGGGAGAAGGAATTTAGCAAAGAATGACCTATGTAGTGCTGGCCCTTGTGGGTGCTCAGTCTAGCTCAGTGGTTGGAGACCCAAATGCCCTGAGGGCCCAGGGTGGGGAGTGCCAGGGAGCTACTGAGCTGCAGTCAACGTCACCATGTGAGAATGTGGACTAGGTATAACCAGACTGTCCAATTTTCAAGATGAGGCAAAAATCCAGACTTTCATGTAAAAACTCCTGGTTTTTAAATGTTGGCAACTAAATATTTTTTAAAAATTGATTGTGGACCAACAAAACACGTCCATGAACCTTGTTCAGCCTGTGAGTCACGAGCTGCGACCCCTGGCCCACAGTGAAGTGATGGCACTTTTTGCCAGACCATGCCAGGCTTGTGTAGATGTAGCACCATGGTGTGGTTTCCACATATGAGCCTCTTGAGGCTGCAAGATGCTGGCATTTGGTTTGTCACATGCAGCTCTGTACTCTGGTCGTGAAGTATTTTCACCTCCCTCATCTGTTGTGTTCCTCCATTGGGCTGCCAGGCAGGCTTCGTCATCCCTGTCCTGCAGGTGAAGAGTCTTCAGCTCAGCCATGAGAATAGCTGGCATAGGGTCACACGGACCCAGCAGGGCAGGGCGGGGAAGAAGCAGGATTTGAACTCAGGGCTCCCCCAACAATGCTCTGTGTGTCACCCCAGGCCGCCCCTCAGAAAGAGTGGATCCTCATCTCCCCCTTCATCCCCCAATTTGTAGTCAACTCTCCTTGGAGGGACAAATCTGAGTATAGTAGATACTGACCTAAGTAAGGCCCCTGTGCCCAGAAGCCTCCTGGGGCTCCTGTCTCTGTTGTCCCATTTGCAGTTCCCCAAGCCTGGGGTTCATGGCCCAGTACCATGGTTAGGTCACAGAGATGCTGCCTACAGGTACTGGTGCCAAGCTAGTAGCTGGCCGAGCTGGAAAGGAGGTTGTGGCCAGCTCCATGCTTGGCTGACTTTGGCAACTGGGACAATTCCCATCATTTCTCTCTGGCCTGAGTTCATCTGTCTTGGTGTGAGAGGAGTGTAAAAATGTCACCAGTGCCTTCTTGCCAGGACAGTGGACTTTGCAGTCACTGGACTTCACAGTGTGGGCCTAAGGCAGCCCCAGCTTCTTGTCTGTAGAATGGGGGTGGCAGCAGCCACCCTCTGGGTGTCACTGAGATACTGAATACAAAGAGGCTAGCAGTGAGCCTGGCATGTGCAAGGGCACGCAGGATATGTTAGCAGCCTCTTTCTTTTCTTTTCTTTTTTTTTGCTATAAAGCATTTTTAACTTTCTTTTTTATTGAATTATTGGAGTTACATTAGTTAATAAAATTATATAGGTTTCAAGTGTACAATTCTATAATACATCACCTGTATATGTGTTCACCATCCAAAGTCTGATCTCCTTCCACCACCTTTTATCCCCCGTTTACCCTCTTCTACTGGCCACTACCCCCTGCAGCCACCGACTTCCACCCCATCCTCACTCCTCACACACACTCTGCTCCCTCTCTCCTCTGTCCCCTGGTCTGAGTCCCTGTCCCTTCACTTGATTGGTACCTTTGGCCTCACATGCAAGGAACCTCATGACCCAGAACCCCAACTGCTTGGGGTCTCCTCTACCCACAGCAGAGAGTGGCAAATGCTTCCATGCATATTTCCTCTATGAGGACAGAGATGTATGGTCCTCAGCTTGCTTATAAAACAACCTGCAAGGACCAAGAGCTGGGTGATGGCCTCTCTCTGTGACATTTTGATGAATGGCCCTCATTCCCCAGGAATGAATTGGATGCAGACCCAGCTCTTGAGGCATTCCTTGTCCCTACAGCTAAAAGACCAAATAGGTAACCGGACACCTCCAGTCACTCCTTCAGCAAGTGGTTTTTTAGCTACTGTGTACCAGGTGATAAGGACAGATGCAGCCTCTGGTGTTGGACATAGGCCTATAGAACACTGTTATATCATTGGGCTTCTTATCCAGCCTTGGAGGTGAGGTGGCTCAGGGCTGACTTGTCCCGGGAAGTGACAAGTGAGGCCGTGAAGCTGAGTAGTGAGTGCTGAGGCAAGAACAGTGAGGATGTATTACAGGCCCCTTGGAGAGAGAAAGCAGAACTGTAGGCAGTGCAGAATGGAGCCCTGAGAGGTAAGGCTGAAGAGATCTTGGCAGGAGCTCATCTCAGAGGCCATGATCTAGGTTAGTGGTTCTCAAAGTGTGTTCCCTGGACCAGCAATGCCAGCACTTGCTGGGAATTTGTTAGAAATGCAAACTCTCAGGCCCCCATCCCAGACCTGGGGGCGGAGCCCAGTACTCTGTTTTAACAAGCCCTCTATGTGGCTCTGGTGCTTACTCCAGTTTGAGAGGTTCCCATCTAACTGTGTTAAAGAGCTGGACTGTCTCCTGAAACAGTGGGGAGTTGTTGGAGGGTTCCGGCCAGAGAGGGCCCTGGGAAAATGGGCAATGTGGAGAGTGGGCAGGCTGGGCAGGAACACAGCACAGAAGTAGAGACAGTGGTGGCAACCATGGTAATAGGGGCCTACGTGAGAGATGCTTGTAGCCTGGCCAAGGCAGTGGCAGGGGAACCAAAGGAAGTGGACAGATGAAGACACACTACACTGAGGGTGAAAACAACAGGATTTAGTGGATAGAGTAACTGGTGGGCCCTTTGCTGAGATAAAGGACCCAGTAGCAGATCTTTGGGATCTGAAGTTGGGAGCCGGGGTTCTTCAACCTACAGGGGTACAGTAGGTCCAGAATGAGACATCTAGGTGACCTTGGGTGTCATTTAATCTCTTTGAGCCAAGTGTTCTCATCTGTCAAATGGGAAAAGTGCTAATGGTTCTCAGGACGACTGCGAGAACGGCCTGTGGGATCCAGCCCTTGGGCAGGAACGCCTTGGGGACACTCACATCTCTGCACCCCCAGCTCAGAAGCCTTGAAAAGCACTAACATTTGTTGAGCGTCTCCAAGCCCTTTGCACAAATTAGCTCCATCTTCACCGTGGTCATTGAGGAGGACACTGAGGCGACATGGAGTTCAAGAAACTCACTGCCCTGGGTCTCTCTTTTACTCCCTCCTGTGCTGCCAGTGAGCATGTGGCCTCAGAAAACTGTGCAATCCAATGTGCTCACAAACTCTACAAATAAATCAAGATGGAATCCTTAAAAAAATGTTCAAATAACCTGCAAAAAAAGGTAAGAAAAGAGAAAGAGGAAACGAAACAAATCATAAAATGACAGACTTAAGGATGAGTCCATCTGAACGCACTGCTCCTAGCACAGCCAGAGGCAGACACAGAGCAGGGATTTGGTGTGAACAGTCTGGAGAGGCGGGGGAAGGTCAGTGTGTACAAGAGGCTGCAGCAGGTCTGCTGGAAGCATGACAGAGGTCCAAGGAGCAAAGAGCTTGGGGAGCCCTTGAGCAGCGTGGCCTGGTCAGGAAGTGAATTTGGAAAGGCCTACAAGGATGTCCTGATGATGATGGATTGAGCACCTACTATGGGTGAGATGAGATGGCCTGAGAAGACACTGGGCAGGAGCCAGGCCTCAGGCAGGGTCTCACGCACTAAAACTGAGCGTTGGTGCCAGAGGGTCAGCTCAGCTGTAAGACTTCCTCTCATGGACACACAGTGGCCTCGTCTAAAATGCAGCAGTGGTTCCTGCCTCCTGACTGAGGGGCCACAATGGCACTCAGCTGGTCTTGGCCTGCCCCAGTCTGTTCTAGTGCCCAGCCAGCTGCACTGGGCTCCTGAGGGCAGGGTCTCTGTCCTTTTTTCCTGGTTAACCTGGAGCTGCCATCAATTTCTCCTCCACCATGTAGCCTTTTCCCACTCTTGAGCTGTGGGCTGAGGGCCAAAAGGGCCAGAGCCTTGATGGGAAGGAGCAGGAAGGCACATTTTGGCGACAAGCTGGCCAGTGTCCCCGTGGCTGCCAAGTCCTCATGTATAGGTGCACACGCACCTGGCTTTTCATATACAGTTCAGTTGTCATGTAGGGAAAGGTGTTTTGACACAGACTTTGCATTCAGACTTGGGCTAAATCTTAGATCCCCCCTTATTAGCTTTGTGACTTGGAGCAAGTTCATTTCCCTGTCTGAGCTGGTCTCATCTATCAGATGGACTCCCACCCCCATGAGAAAGTGCTGGTGAAGATCACACAAGATTCTGCATGAAAAGAGCCTAGAACAAGGCCTGACACACAGTAGACAGGCCTTGGTAGCTAGTTCTATTTCTAAATTCAGCTAGACATCACCTCCAGCCACAGAAGTGCCTTTTCTGACCCAGAGCTGTTCTTGCTCTGCAGGCCAAGGGGCCCCCTAGTTAGTATCAATTTCCTCAGAGCATTCCTGAAAATTCCTGTGGGCTCAGGAAAAGGAGAACAACGGATTTATTTAACTCCCAGTGACTGGCAGCATCGTGTTTTTATCAAGGCTGCGTCGCCATGGCAGCCTCATGGCAGGGCTGTGGAGGGGGTGGGTGGAACTATTGTTCCTGCCATTGTCTGTTCCGGAATGCAGGCCCAGGATAACGGGACTGGCACAGGCACCAAGTGGCACATGGCACAGGCAGCTGTTTCGTCTGACAAGAGCCCTCTTGGGGTGGCCTGTGCCCTGGCTCCCCCCCAGCTTCCTGCCAGACCAGTCTGAGATGGCTTGATGTGGAGCCCCCAGGTTGGGGCTCAGGCCCACCATGGCCCCCAAAGCTGGATGTGTTCCTTGGACATGTTGAGGATAGGGGTGTCCATGGGGCTCCTGGGAGAGGCCTCCCAACATAGCTCAGGCAGCACTCTTCCACCCCGGGCTAGGGTGTTGTAGTCAGGCTTGGATTTAAACTACAGCACGGCCACCTGCTATCTGTACAGCTAATTGCTTCCCCCTTCCTTATCTTTAAAATAGGACTAATTACAGTTACCCCAAAGGGTGCTATATGAAAGCCCCTGAGTAAAAGGCATTCAAGAAGGGCTCATTTCTGCTCTGCGGAGGTGATGAACAGTCGCCTGCCATCTGTCACTCTGCCGTCAGGGTCCCCTCCCACATACCTCTTAGGATGCCAGGTTCCCCTCCCAACCCTGGCTGTGGAGAGGAGTTGGGAGGAGAGGGGCCCGTCTGGAGCGGGACCAGGTGGTACTAAAGACTTTTCCTCCCCTCTGGGGAAAGGGGAAGGAATTGAGGGGAAGCGACCCAATGTCCTGGAGCTAGAAGGGCAGGGCCAAGTGGGACTAAGTAGGAGGTGAAGAAACTGGGATCTGGCGGATGGAGGCACATAGAGGAAAGGAAGAGGGAACAGCTCACGCTGGGAGGGTATTCGGCGCGGACAAAGGCAGATAGATGCAGCGGGAACTACCCGCCCCGAGCTCCCGCTAGAGAACAGCGACCATCGGGAGATCGCGGTGCGGGCTGGGATGTTCCATGCTTTGGGCAGCCAGGGGTGGGAGCGGGTACAAGACCTAGAGCGCCTGGGGCTGCTAGACACATGCATAGGGCTGAAGATAGGCGCCTGTGGTTGGTTGTGTGCCTCTAGGTGGGCCACCCTTTCCCCGCCGCCAAGCAACCAAGCGGGGCTCAGGGGGTTCGGGTGGCGAGAGAATCTCCCCTGCGCAGAGGCCCAGTCTGGCCTTCGCGCGCCCCCTGCTGGCCTGCCTGGAGTTCCCTCGGCTCAGCCGCAAGGCCGAATCTCAGGCCCGGGAAAACCCTACCGGGGAAACCTCGAGGTGTGACGTCACCCTCGTCGGTGACGTCACCGCCCTCGGGGAGTGTGGGGGTTCCGGCAAAGGAGGCATCCCCGGGACTGTACAGGGCACCGGCAGGGAAGTCATCGGGGGCTGCAGCGCGCCTTCACCGCGCCTTATGTCTGTCCCATAGGTCCCGCGCGGCCCCGGGTGAGGCCTGCCCGCTCGCCCGCCGGCACCATGGGAAGGAGCGGGCACCGGTACTGCTGCCCCCCGCCGGCGCGCGCAGGACTTGAGCCTCGCCGCAGGCAGCCCCCGGCCGCAGGTCCCCAAGTGACGCTGGCGGCTCCTGGGAGCGTGGCGCGGGCCCGGGGCCACGTAGAGGAGCCCAGTGTCCAGTGAAGCTGCCGAGGACCCGCCGCCCGCGCCGCCGCCATGGTTATGTCCCAGGGCACCTACACGTTCCTAACGTGCTTCGCTGGTTTCTGGCTTATCTGGGGGCTCATCGTCCTCCTGTGCTGCTTCTGCAGCTTCCTGCGCCGCCGCCTTAAACGGCGCCAGGAGGAGCGACTGCGTGAGCAGAACCTGCGCGTCCTCGAGTTGGAGCCCCTCGAGCTTGAGGGCAGCCTGGCCGGGAGCCCCCCGGGCCTCGCGCCTCCGCCACCACCGCACCGCGGCCGCCTGGAAGCGCCGGCGCACGCGCACCAACACGTGCACGTGCACCCGCTGCTGCATCACGGGCCGGCACAGCCCCACGCGCATCCGCACACACACCACCACGCACTGCCGCACCCGCAGCCGCCGCACCTCTCCGTTCCGCCCCGGCCCTGGAGCTACCCGCGCCAAGGTAAGTGCCGACCTAGGCCGGAGCGATCGGGATGGGCGGGGCCTCGGCCGCGGGCTGACTCGTGGTCTTCACTGGACCGGTGGCCCCAACCTAGGAGGGCACGGGCTGGGCCTGGCGTTGGCTAAGGTTTCTGCGGGAGGCTGGAGACTTGGCTAAGGTTTCTGCGGGAGGCTGGAGACGGGTGGTCTCACACCTTCGGACCGCTTCCCACTCCACAGCAGAATCGGACATGTCCAAGCCTCCGTGCTACGAAGAGGCGGTGCTGATGGCCGAGCCGCCGCCACCCTACAGTGAGGTGCTCACGGACACCCGCGGCCTCTACCGCAAGATCGTCACGCCCTTTCTGAGCCGCCGCGAAAGCGCAGAGAAACAGGAGCAGCCGCCGCCCAGTTATAAGCCGCTGTTCCTGGACCGAGGCTACACGTCGGCGCTGCACCTGCCCAGCGCCCCGCGGCCCGCGGCGCCCTGCCCTGCGCTCTGCCTGCAGGCGGACCGAGGCCGCCGGGTCTTCCCCAGCTGGACCGACTCGGAGCTCAGCAGCCGCGAGCCGCTGGAGCCCGGAGCTTGGCGCCTGCCGGTCTCCATCCCCTTGTTTGGGAGGACTACAGCCGTATAGAGGGGTGCCTGGCGACCCGAGCCCCAACAGTAGACTCCTGGCCTGACTGAGAGGCTTTTTAAATACTTCCCTTGGACTGTGGGGGGTGGGAGGGATTTCTTACCCCATTTGTTACATTTTGAGGATAATAAAGGTGTGTGATCTGGTTTGGTACAAGCGGAGGGGACACCCACTGCTTGCGTCCAAGGTTCTGGTGGCCAGGTGTGCCTGGGCCTTGGCAGGAGGAAAGCTGAGTGTGCTTTACAGCTAAGTGGCTGGAGGATGCAGAACTAAACCTGAGGTCAGCCTGCTTCCCCCAAGAGCCTCAGACCCCCTCTTCCCTGCCCATGAAATCACGGTGAGGTGCCCCTGTGGCCTTAGAGGTGGGAAAAGTTGGGAAAAGGGGTCAAGGGCAGGCGGCCCAGCAGCAGGCCCAAAGGGATCTGGATTTCTTTATTAACAGACATGAGCACGACCCGTTACAGAAGTTTGTGCTTTCCAAAAAACAGTTACTGAATGTGAAAAAGGGACCCAAGCAAAGAAGGGAGTTGGGGAGGGGCCACCCAAGCCCTGGGTCCCACCCATAGCCCTGACCTGAATCGGGCCTAAGGCCTCCAGCCTGGGACCCGCCCAGCAGGAGGGGGCAGGAAAGGGCTGGGAAGCTGAGCCGCCCCAGCTGGGCCTGCTACTTCCTTAGGGCCAGGTGGGTAGAGGTCAAGAGACGGGCAGGGAGGGGGTCCCAGGGAGCCAGAGCCCGCGAGCCATTTATTGCCATGTTTTCAAATTCGTGCAAAATATCTGAAGCCCTGGACAAAGAATACAAAGTGATATTTTTCCAAGAAACATAAAACTAGGAAAAGAAGTGGGGGACATTTTCCCACCAGAGCTCCCCCCTCACCAGGCCCCAAACAGGGTGAGGCCTCCACCCTGGCCAGCTGAGTGAGCAGGGAGGGCTAAGCGCTACAATCTGGACCGGGTTGGGAGGGGATGGAATTTGCAACAACATTTCAACTACCAACGGGAGGAAAACCAGTCAACTGTACAAGTCTCCTATCAACTTTTTTTTAAAAAAAGAAAGAAAAGCTGTAAAAGTCAGGCCCTTTGGGCAAGGAAGCGGCCAAGTCCCCGGACAGGGCCGGAATCTGGAGTGGGTGCCAGGCGGAGCGTCTTCGAGTACAGGCGCAGCGGGCCATCTGGGCAGAGGCCAGCGCAGGTGGGTGGTCTTGGCAAGGACAGCCTGAGGGTGGGCGCCACTGCTAATCGCCACCCTCGAAGCCCTCCTCCTCTTCCGGGACTGGGTCTGCATCCCAGCAGGTGATGTCAATTTCTATGGTGTTGGGAAAAGAGGGCAGTTAAGGAAATGGCCAGCAGATCCACGGCTGTATCCCCCTGGGAACTGTGCCCACCCACACTTAAACCCAGCATCCCCATCCTAATTCTGACCCATCATCCATACCCACACTACCTGGAGGCTTATTGTAGAACACAGGAGGCGGAGCCTTTGCACACAGATCTTCTGATTGGGCGAACTCCTCCTCCTGTGATTGGCTGAAGTACCCCTCACTGGCCTGCGAGGAGGAAAGCACTGGGTTACTGTGGCCCCACCCTGCAAGACTAGGGCTGACCTACCAGGCCTGAGACAGTTTCTCCAGCAACCAGTGATTCCATCCATGGTTACCAAGAAAACAGACACCTGACTTGGGAACAAAAGCAGAGCTGGCCCAGGGAAGGGGAATGGAATACAGCTTCCTCCTAATAATGTGGGTCACGAAAGGGGGTACTGCTGCAAGCCTAAAACACTCAGGGTCAGCCCCCTTCTCAAGCCCTGACTTCCAACCCTACCACCAGGCTGCCCTGCCCTACCTGAGTCCCCTCCTTCTGGGTGGTCTCGCCATTGGTCAGTAGGTGGGGCTCCGGCTCCGGCTCCTGATCCAGCTCCTCTAGAGCAGAGGGTGGAGCAGGGGCCTGGGGAGCAGCCAGGGGCACCCCTTCTACTTCCTCCTCTGGGTCACAGAAGGTGGCTGGTGGCTCAGGCAGCTCATCAAAATTGAGGAGACTGGCACAGACTTCACTTGCTGGTGGCAGTGGCTCCTGAGCCCCCTCATCCAGCAGGGGCACCTCCGCCAGAGTGACCTCGGCACCTGAGGGTGCTGTCAGAGCGCTAGGCTCAGCCTGGGGTGCCGAGGCACCATCCCCGTTGTCAGGCCATAGGTCAATGAGGCTGGCAGTGGCAGGGGCGACAGTGTTGGCAACAGCGGTGTCAGCAGCAGCAACGCCATCGGTTTCAATGGCAGCAGCTGCCAGGGTGTCGGCTGCAGTGGTGTTGGCTATGGCAGGCTCTAGAGGGGCAGCCAGGACAGCCTGCTCAGGAGCCACCATGAACATAAAGTCCTCTATGGGGCTGCCTTGCCCCTGGGGAGGCTCCCGTGCCTGCGGGGACTTCTCCACGGGGCCAGCCCAGGCCTCAGGGGCTGCAGCTCTGGCCTCCTTGCTGGTCCCTTCGCCCTCCAGGCCGGGGCCAGGCTCCTGGGTCTCTGTTACAGAACAAATGGAGGAGACAGATGTGACCAGCTCCATCAGCGAAGGCCATGGACAAGCACACTACCTACCCTGTCATGCACTAAAAATCTGACGACCTCCTGGAAAGAAGGCCTCCATTAATAGCTCCATGCAGAGCACCCTCCAGCACCCACTGGGTTCTGCTGCCCCTTTACCGAGTGTCTGCAAGCCACTCAGCAGCCTTGGGAGGAAGGCCTGGGTCCTACTCCATGGAGAGACACGGAGGCTCAGAGGGTAGATCTGACTGCCACACCAGGGCTCCTGCCTGCCACGGCCACCTCCAGGGCAGTAGTTTGGGTGATGGGTGGCCCAGGCGCCTGGGGAGTTGTTACCATGGTCGCCTGGGTTTTTCAGCACAGGGACTGGTGAGAGGCCCAGTACAGCTCGGGCCCCTCACTTACCTTGGGTTTGTGGAGGTGGTGGTGGCGGTGGTGGAGGCTGAGAGGACGTGACCTCATCCAGGGCCCGCTCGATCTGCTCAGAGACAGGAGTGGAGGCTGTGCTGGAGTCAGATGGGCTCCGGGTGGGGATGGGGGTGGGTGCCATCCTCCGGTGGCTGTCCAGGTGGCTGCCTGTGGAACAAACCCCCACGGTTAATGAGGGCCAAGAAGCCAGGTGGGACCAGGATTGTACACCTCAGGGCCTGGCCAGCATCTCTTCTCTGGAGTCTGGGTGGGGGGCTGGGAGCTCCCCAGGCTCCCCAGGGTCCAGACCACAACTCCAGACCCTATAAGCCAGGCCCCTGGGGGTCAGTGCCCCTTCAGGGCCAGGGAAAAGAGGCAGGCAGTACCTGCTCTGGGGACAAACACCAGAGATCAGTGGTCAGGCTGGGGAGTAAGGGCAGGGGTGCTGCTGGGAAGTGGGGCCCTTCTTACCCCCCTGCCGAGGCCTGGGGCTGCTACCTACATGGGAGGGAGGAAGAGAGGTTTGGGGTGCGGTGACAGGTGATATAGGGAAAGGGAGTCCGTGGAGGGGAGGAGGAGGAAGAGGAGGAGGAGGAAGGCCCACTGTCCGATGCCTTTATGAAAGGGCAGTACGGACGACCTGCCGAGAGAGACAGACAGAGAGAGAGACAGAGGACAAGAGAGGGTCAGTCTCCCCCACCCCCGCCCCAAGGCCTCACCCACCCCCAGAGCTGGCCCTGGATATCCAAGCTGCCTTTGGCCAGGGCGCACATTCAGCCAAGCTGGGCTACAGCCTCAAGCACCAGCCACAAAAAGCAAGGAGCCTGCCCAACACAGCCAGCCTCTGCAAAACACACACCCATGGACAGCCTGCCCCACCCCTGAAACCCCAGCACAGGCCAAGCACACACAGGGTCAAACACTCAGACCAGCAGACAGAGCAGAAGGGTGCTTCTGGGGAGGCAGAAGCTACAATGGAACCTTGACAGGGAACCTGGGTGCAAGCTCCAGGGCTGCCTCACATGCACCATAGCCCTCAGGCTGGACCTGGTTTAACCCCAGCAGGGCCACTCCCTATGGCCAGGGGCGTGCCTTAGCCCATGCCAGAGCTGCCTAGATGGCCTCTAGCACTGCCCACTGCTCAGCCAAAGCCCAACATTGACCATCACCTCCCCAGCCTTCTCAGTCCTGCCACCTGGGAGGCAGTGGGTGGGAGCACGCTTGATGAACAACCTTGCCTTCTCCAAGGGTCCTTGGGCAAGGCTTCTCTTCCAAAAAATAGTGTCAGAGGCTCAGGGCCAAAACCTGAGTGGGGGTCAGGTGAGGGTGGGACCTGGGACTACCTGGTCTATGATTGAAGGGCGAGGGTACATCGCAGCTGCCCACAGAGGCCGATGCGACTCGTTCCTGCTGCTTGAAGAACTCCCGTGGGTTGTCAGGCCGCTGGGCAATAATGGCCGCTGCCTCCTGGGGACACAAGGGAAGGGTCAGAGACAGGCTGGCCAGACTGAGGCACTCCCTGATGGACTCACCTGCCCTGCCCCCCAGCTCTCACCTCTACCTCCGATTCTGACTTCTTCATCTGGGTCTCTTCCTCTTCATCCCTCCGGTCACCCTGGGAAAAAAAGGGACAGTGTCCTGGACACCCCCACCAGGAGCTCTAGCCCCACGTTTCCTCCATAATCTGGCAGGAAGAGGCTTGCAGGTGGCCTCTCTGCTCCCTTTACCACCATCACACAGCTCCTTCTCTCCATCCACAAGGCCCTCAGCCACCTCATCTCCAGCCTGGACAGATGCCTGGGCACCCAGCTCAGCTCCTCCTGCTCCTTCACCCCAGATCCCCAGTCTTCCAGGACCACTCCCTGCTTTGCAGCCAACTTTTTTCAAACCTCCTACCCCAGTATCTAGCCAATAGCGCTGTCTGGATTTCAGCCTGGTGACTGAGGCTTCCTCATTAACCTCCCTCCACCCCTGACTGGACCCACATTTCCCTTCCCCTGCCTGACCTCATCCCTGTCACCTCCCCAACAGCCCCCTTATACCCTGACCTGCCCACACTCCCCGAGATGTAGACCTAACGTCCTCAGCATGACATAATAGTTTTCATCCCTGGAACATGCATGCCATTTACCACTTGGTATGGGAGATGAACCTCTCTCTCCTCAGACGCCCAACCCCCACCCCCGGTCCAACTCTTCCTGCTTCTGGCTCAGCTTGGGCACTGCCTCGCGGGGAAGAGGTCCCTGGCCCATTCAGGTCCTTTCCTTCTTTGGGTCCCCACCAGGTGTTCTAAGCACACACCACAGGTTACACTGTGTCGGAAACCTCCTGTTTCCGGGGTCAAGTCCCCTACCCTTTGCGGGTGACACAGGATGAGAACTCAGGTCTCTGTGTGTGGCCAGCATGAGGTTGAGTTGGCACATGTCTGCTCAGTTGAATTCACTACACCAAAGCCTCTTCATAGTGCCCCCTGCTGCTCCTGTGGCAAATGGGGCAGGAGGGACTGAGGGGGGACAAAAAGCGGCAGGTACGGTGGTGAAGTAGCCGGGCTCCTGTTTTTGAGCACATGCATAACCGATAGGGTGCATTAGAATGCCCTTCAGTGTCCCCCTTCAAGAGGGTTGTCACTCAAAACTTCGTGTCTTCCAGAATGAAGTCTAGACTCCTCTACCTGCTCCTCAGCCCACTGGGCTCCAGTCATTCTCCTTGCCTTCCCATAATGAATATCCAACCAGCTTTATCGGATCCTCTGTCCCTGCCAGTATAACTTCCCTAGGTTCCTCTGCTTCATTTGGGGAAAAAAAAAAAAAAAAAGACCAGAGTTGGTTTCCCACCTACCAACGACATGAAAACACTGAGACAAGTTAGGGCTGTGGGCAGGAAGAAGCTGCCGCTGTGCCTGAGCATCTGCAGATATACAGGAGCTCCCGGCAGCCCAGGCACAGAGGGAACTCAGGCAAGAAATGCAAGTCTTATCAGAAGAGAGGAAGCATTTTATAGTTCTAAATTCCAAAGTTCCTCACATGGGATCTTCCTAGAGGACCTGAACTTGTAAGGCCACTACACTGACCTGTCAGAACAGACACTGTCACTATCACAGGAGCCACACATGAAGGGGTCAGATGGGGCTATCAAATAATGGTGCAAGTTCCTTAAGATTGTGCCTGAAATGTTGATAATTAGTGCAAGATAAGTGATCAGCTCAGAGGGGACACTATGCTATTCTTCCTACTTTGTGGGTGTGAAATTTCCTATAAAAAGCAGCTTTTTCAAAAAAAGCCCTTGCTCTGAATGGACAAACTAAATGTGATATATACAGTGGAATATTATTAGCCTTAAAAAGGAAGGAGACATTCTGACACATGGATGAACCATGAAGAAATTATATCGAGTGAAATAAGCCAGTCACCAAAGGAAAAATTCTGTATGATTCCACTCATGTGAGATACCTAGAAAAGTCAAATGCATAGAGACAAAGTAGATTGCTAGGGGCTAGGGGGAGGGGAGAATGGGGAGTTAGTGTTTAATGAGTACAGAGTTTAAGAATGGGAAGATGAAAAAAATTCTGGAGATAAACCGTAGTGATGCTTGTACAACGTGAATGTATTTAATGCCACTAAACTGTATATTTAAAAACGGCTAAGATGTTACATGTCATGTTATGTGTATTTTAAAAATAAAATCTTCGGTTAATTTCATCTTGTTCATCTTCACCACCATATTTTTAACACCTGGCACAGGCAGGTGGTGGCAAGGGTTTGTTGAATGAATGAGGCTGGAGCTTACCAACTACACATTACCTCCACCCATCCAGAGGCTGGCGGGATTGGTGACCTATGAGAGCCACTTAATGCCAATGCCTGCAGGGTGTCCTGCCCCCTCCCTCCCAGTCTTCTCCTGTGGATGTGGCACTGAAGCTCCTTTGGGTCCCCAAGGCCCAACATCTGCCCATCATAGTCCCAATCCGGACAAGTACCACCCACCTCCCGTCCTGAACTATATCGCACCACTGAATGACCTTAATTCAAAGCATGAGGATTTTCAAAGGGCCAATCCACAGGCCCTATGGGACACCCCAATGTTTGAAGGTTCAGACAGCATCGCTGGAACAAGGGGCTGTTCTGAAGGAGACACTGCACACACAGTGTATTGCTCAGAGCACCAGCCAGATTCATTTGTGTGGCTCTTCAGCAGTAGTGTTGGGGGACCAGGTCTGCAGCCCTAAGTGCAGAAAGCATGTCTAATCCATCTGAGCCCCTCAAGCCAGGCAAGGGAGCCTGGTCACTGAGGGTCTGGGTCAAGATAGATTTTCCTCTTTCAGACTAAAGTAGAAGCTTCTCCAAGCTTTACTCAGCTCCGGGCCAGACCCCACGTGATTGAGTGGCAGATCTGACCCTTCACGGCAGCCCATGGAGCAGTACCCAGAACACCCAGCACTGTCTCCCCAAGAGGCCCGGGAGCACAGGGCCCACCCTCATTTCCCTGACCAGGAGGCTGGAAGCCCTGGTTAAGAACTTACAAAGATAGACTGCTCATTTAACCGCCTCTTGGCCTCCTCAGCTTCTAAGGTCTGCTGTTTCCTCCTGAAATGATAAGTGAGCCTAAGTGGGCATGCACCCTTACGGAGGGCCCACAAGGACCTGCCTGTGGCAGGGCGGGGCCTGCAGCAGGGCGGGGCTGGGCACACCTGTGCTCTTCAATCTGCTGTTCCCTCTCTCTGTAGCGCCGTTCCCGCTCCTCCTGCTCTTGCCGCTCCTGCTCCATCCGCTCTTGCTCAAATCTGAGCCTTTCATCCAGGGCCTTCTTCCGCTCCTCCTCCTTCCTCAGCTCTTCCTCCTTCTGCAACCGCCCGTGCCAAGGCAGTGTAGACCCTGAGCCTGGGGTCCCCCTGTCCCACCAGGCCATCCCCAACCCAGGGCCAGTGAGGTCTGGGTTCTGAGAAAACATGAGTCCCCTGAGCATAAGTCTCACTCTTTCAGCTGGGGGAGCACACGGGATGGGACACACTATTGATGGGGGACTTGAGGAGAGAATCCCAGGGCTACCCCATGGGGTCGGGTCAGCTCAGCCTGCAGGCTGGGGTTGGGGTCCACACCTTAGCCTGCTCCCAGAACTGCTCACGGTTAATCCGCTTCATCTCCACAGCTGCGTCAGTCTTCTGGTAGGTGGTGCCCTGCAGAGTCACATGGCCTGGTATGAGCTCCGAGAGCAGGCTGAGAGCTCCTGGAGTTCCTACCAGAAAAGGCTGAGGACTGAGAGGGCGGGAGTAGGAGAGCCCTGGGCAGGGCCAGCTGGCCTCAGGCACACTGACCACCGGCTCAGCATTCTCATCCTCACGCAGCCGCAGCCGGTGCAGCACAGGGCTGGAGAGCCGTGCCAGACCGTTGGAAAGCCGCTGCCCAATGGCGCCCGCATCTATGTCTTCCACGCTGCTGGCATTCACAATCACATCGACACCCTGCAGCAAGAAGGTGTGTTCAGGCAGTATGGCTCCCTCCCATCACCACCATCAGCATACAGACCCTGGGTAGCTGGTCCCACCCCGACTCGCACCTGGAAGAATTCAGCCACCTTAGCCACATGGCTGGCACAAGCACATTTTCGGGCATCAGGCACATCTTCACCAACCTGCAAAGTAGCCAACAAAGAGGGGGTTGAGAAAGGACAAGAAAGGACAAGAAGGGCCTGGGCTCTCTTCCCAGGGGTAGAGTGGGGTTCCCTCCACAGGTGTCAGAGGGTGGAGGGTAACTGTTCCGGGGTCTCAGCTCCCTTCCCAGCCCACAGCTGCATACCCAGTTGATGAGCACGTATTTTGGCAGCGCAGCCTGGGAGTCCTTGACGCTGCAGAAGCCGTACATCACCTTCTGGTTTTCAAAGTGGCCTGAGAGTTCCTGCAAGCCCCCGTCTGGAGGAATTAGGAGGCATCAGGACTCCCATCTCCTAACCCTTACCCCACCGAGGGCCTGGAACCCAAAGGAAAGACTCCATTTGTGGGCTCTGCAGGCACTGCCCCTCCCCCCTCTTCCCTCCCAGAGCTCTGTGTTGGTGTGAGAATGAGTGGCAGGCAGGCACTGGCCTTGCCTCTGAGTCCCCAAGGCCTGATTTGGGGTAGGACTGAGGAAATGCTTGTTCTTCACACATCCTCATGACATACTAGTAACTGGTGAGGTAAAAGAAAGCCTTTGGGCTCTAGAGAAAGTGTGGGCGATCCGGGCCATCCCTACCAGGTCCCCTCCCCATAGCTGGGGACTCTGGGCTGTGTGACTCCTCCTCTCTGAGGCTGTCTACTCCTTATCAAACAGGAAACAAGGCTGCCTCCCTCCCACCCTGGGGAGCTGAGGGATGATCAGGAAGGACACCTGCCGGACAAGTGTGGGTCTGCTGGATGCAGGCAAGGAGGTGACCAGGCGCCAGGTGACCTACAGCCAGGCGGGTGGGGAAGAACACAACCAGAGGAGCGGGGAGGAAGGGCTGAGAGAAGGCAAAGGAATGGCTGGAATTCTTACCTCCCGATGCTGCAAGCTTGAGGTCATCTGAGCCATCCTCATACGTGTACAGAGCCCTGGGGAGAGGGAGTGGTGGTTCTTAGAACTGTCAAGGCCCAGGCTGCCAATTTTGGGTGGGGACAGCTCTAGGGAGGAGGAGGAGGGACACAGACGGGGCAGGACAGGAAGGGGGCTCTGCCCCAGCACTCACTGCCTGACAATAGGGCTAGGAACCATTTCTGGAGCGGGGACACCCTGAGACCTGGTAGAGGGGCGCCTGGGTTAGGTGGGGAATAAACAATGGGGGGTCGGGTAGAAATCACTGTCCATGTGTCACGTCCTGGGAGCTCTGGTCCTGGCAGCCTACAACTCAGCCAGCGGGTGTGACATGGAGATTCCAAGGCGATGGTTCCTTGGTTACTGTTCCCTGGCTACCATGCTCCTCATCCCCCATTGGCTGTTGCCAGGCGTGTGTCTGGGTACCCATGGCCCCTCCCCTCACAGCAGGGGAAGGGGAGGAGAAAGAACCTGGTGCTCACTCTGATCAGGGCATCCCCTGGTAACCATGGCAACCCAGCGACTGGCACATGACGGGCCCACTCCAACTGCAGTCTCCTGAACACAAAGGACCCCAGGGACACACCCTCAGCCTTAATCGATGTCTCACTGAAATGTGGATGAGGTCACCCAGATCCCTCTTGCCCAGACCGGGGCCCCTGGGTGGTTTTACTCTTCCTGGTCTTCCAGCCCCCAGGCCAGCTCTGCTGCCGCTGAGGCCCTGGCCTCCTGGGACTGCCAGCCTTTCCTTTAGCCTTAGCTTCACCAGAAAGCTGACTTAGCAGCCTTCCTAGCTTTTTTCCTCTTTCCTAGCTTTTTCTCCCAAGTGGCAGTGGCACAGCATCCATTTCACAGAAGGGAAGGCAGAGATGTCTGCTCCTGAGGACCCCCTTGGGGAGAACAGGCCTGGGGCAAGGAAGGGCCTTGTTCCAGAGGCTCCAGAGGGCTCAGTCCCTTCCCCATTTCCCTACTGCCAAGGCAGAAGGCAGGGGACTGGGAGGGTGGTGGGAGCACAAGAGGTCTGGACAAGAGAAAGGGAGAGTCAGTGGGGACAACAGGGAGAGGTGGAAGAAAGAGAAGACAAAAAGAAAGGGATAAAGAGGAAATGAAGGAGAGAGGAAGGGAAGGGAAGGGAAAGAAAAAGAAGGGAGAGAGGGAGGAAGCAGGAGAGCAAAAAGGAGGGCCTGGCCTAGCCCCGTGAGGTCAGCACAAGTCACTGCTAAGGACACACACACACACCCCAATTCCCAGGATCCCTCCCTCATGAAAGGGACACAGGTGGGCTGTGAGGCGGGGAGCTCTTGGTCCAACTGTTGCCCGGGCCCCCTTGCTGGCAGCTGCTTCCCAGAACAGCTGTCCCACCACCTGTCCGGTTGCCCTAACCCACCACTAGGAACAAAGGGCCCTCAGAGAAACAGGATCTGTCCTTCCCAATTCCACAGATGAGAAACTGAGGCAGAACTCTGAGACCCTGGTCCCCAGACACTGCCTTAGGCAGCATACGCCCAGGGATGAATGTCAGCCTCTCGAAGGCTCTGCGGGCCCTTGCTACTCCCAGGAACGCCTGCCCTGCCCCTTCCGTCCTCAGTCCTTGCCTACCTGCTTTCAGGCATCTTTCTCACTCCGGCCACAGCCCTGATCAGGCAGAAACCGCATCTACGTTCAAAGGCTTCAACAGGCCTTCGGTCTTGAGCTCTACCCACCTGCCCTTCCAGCTGGACCTCTGCGTCCACACCACACGCTTGGGTTAACCTCGGTGGCTCCCTGATGCCGAACGCAGTTCTGAGTATTTCCCACTCTGGAGACTGTGTACACGGTTCCCTTCGCAGGAAGGCTAGGTCTGTTTCTCCACCCATGCCCACCCTTGGCAGAAATCCCTCGGGGTCCTGATGCCAGATCTCCAGGAAGCTGTGCGCCGCCCCACACCACTTAGCACATCCCAGCAGGGATGGAACAGGCATCTGAGCCCGCCCCAGATCTCACTAAACCAGTGCTTCTTACATACATCAGAGACAGCCTGGGCCCGGACAGCACAAGCAATCAGGAGTGGGGGAACCGGGACTCTACACATCTCACCAGCTCCAACCCCTGGTGATAGACATTGCCTTGAACCTAAGCTTCGTGAAGGCGGATATCTGACTCAGTCAGCCAACTCACTTCACTCTCTGGGTTCAGGATCCAGCACACAATAGCACCAGTAGGTATTTGTAATATTGACACAAGCTCTGAGAAACCATCTAGGCCAGAGAAACTGGAATGAGGTAGGAGCCGGAATATGGCAGCTCCAAGGAGAAATGCTGGGGTCAGCTGAGGCGAGAGGCTGAGGGCAGGCAGAGCCCTCAAGACAATGGCACTCTCAGATGTTAGAGATGGAAGAGCCCTGGATGTCCCAGGTATGGTTGAGCCCAATTCCCTCTTCTTCTTTTCTTTTGTTTCTTCTTATTATTTTTAAAGTTTTTATTGACTTGGGAGAGAAGGGAGAGGGAGAGAAACATTGATCAGAGTGGAACACTGATCGGCTGCCTCCTGCACGCCCCCTACTGGGGATGGCGCCTGCAACGGAGCATGTACCCCAATGGGGAATCAGTGCATGGGAAGGCACTCAACCAACTCACTACACTAGCCAGGGGCCCCTCTTCTTATTTTCAAGAGGATCAGAGAGGAATCAATTCTTGTGTGGTCACACTGAGTCATGTCACATCCAGGGCAACACTGGCTCTTCCTGGGTCCCTTGTCCCCGTGACTGGGTAGTGGTCCATTTCAAAAGAAGTGAGCTCGCCCCACCACCCTCACCACTCAGAGGCCAGGAAAGGGAGAATAATGACAAGCCCCCTTTCCCCAGGCAGCAGTTTTATCCAAGACACCTTCCTCTGGCCTCTGAGTACAGGGTCTGCTCCTAAGTCCTGAGACCCCACTGTATCCCTAGCTCAATGCCGGCATCTGGGGGCATTCATGCCCCCCCCCCCACTGTAGGATGTCATTTTCACCCCTTTTTACAAAATGCTATCTAGGCCCTTGGGAGTGAACAAATGTGTGCAATGCAAGGGTACATGTGTGCATCTGTGTGTCCCACACAAAACCCAGATGGGAAGTGACGCACGCCAGTGATGAATAACTAGTTTTGGCCACATGGATACTGCTCGGTGACGGGAGCTCAGGGCCCTACTGAGCAGGAGGTGGGCCAGCAGTGGTTTTGGTCCCGCACTGGGCCCCCAGAGTTCTGCTTTTGAGAGGTTAGGGGCAGTGATATGGTGGTAGACAGTACCCCTAGACTGAGGGCGAGGGGGGCATTCTGAGATGGACCACGCCCCTCCCCAGGCAGGGCCCATAATATCCCAAGGCCAGTTCCTCCACCAGGCCAAGCTGGCCACTTGCCCTGAACTCCTCCCATGATCTCAGCCCCCAGGAGCAGGGCTGGGACAACGGGCTGGCCGGCTACCCACTTATGCTGGCCTATGCTGGCCTCTCCTATGACTGACCTACAGAACATGGGAGCTTGTCTCCCGAGTCCATCTCTCCAGGCAGGCCTGGCTACCAGCCAGTGCTGCAGTACTGTGGCATGGACGCCTGGCCACTCGTCCCCTCCTCCAGCCCCCAGGTCAGTATTCCTACCGTAATGCCCTCCCTTCTTGGGTAAAGCCAGCCAAGTGAGGTCCCTCAGGCCTACCCTCACTCCGTGCCTTGGTATCCTGCCGGCCAGCGGGAGTAGAGGTCTGGGAATAGAATGAGCACCTCACCCAAGAGATGAGTATTTTGGGGGTGAATGATTCCTGAATGGGGCAGTGTGGAACCCCTTGGCTTTCTTACCACCCAGAGCAGGTGGTCCACCCCGCCCAGCTCAAGCTGGAGACAATAGCTGTGGACGGGGAAGAGGGCAATCCCGCTCCTCCCCCACCAGGGAGCTGAGAGCCCCTTGCACTGGCCGCGGGGCCAACGGTTCAGAAGATCTGCTCAGCTCCTCATCCCTTCCTGGGGGCTCCCTCCAGGCTTGTGCGCCTGAGGGCTTCCTCCCAGGGTCCCCAGACGGCCCGCTCGGCAGGCAGTTCGGCCCCCTTGGCATCTCCCAGTCCAGCTGCCCGATCCCTGAAATCCCCTTCACCCTGCCCCCTCCGCGGCCCCGGAGAACGGGAGTCCCTGGGCTGTTGCCATGTGGCCATGAACATCTTTCCATCACACCCCAACTCCGAGAGGCCCCCCCGGTGGGCGGGGCACCGGCCCCTAGCCCTCTCCGCTCCTCCCCCGCCCCAGCGTTCCTTTGTGCTGCGGCCATCCGTCCGGGCTGGGCAGGGCAGGCTGAGCTGGCTCCGCTAGCTGGGTCCCCGCCCCGTCCCCGCCCGGCCCGTGCCCGCTCGAAGGTAGCGAAGGTGCCCTTGGCCGGCCTTGCACACCTGTCCCCCGGGCCCGGGCCGGGGGATGGGCTCCTGCCGGGCCACGAGCCCGGGCCACATGTCCGGACCCCGCGTCTCTCCGGCCCGCGTCCGGCCACCTCTCCCACACCGTTCCGGGGGCGGCCTCGGGCGCTCGGGGCCGGCAGCGCCCCGTCGGGACCCCCGGCCCCTCCCCCGGCGCGCACAAAGGCAGCCCCTTTCGGAGCTCCCGGGCCGCTGCACCATTCGGGGTCGCCCCCACCTTTCCCGCAGCCGAGCGGCGGGCAGATGGAAACAAAGGCGCGGCGGCGCGGGGACAAAGGGGCCGGCGGGGGCGGGGGCGGGGGGCTCACCAGTCGGCTGCGCTCTCCTCCCGGATCACCTCCTCGTACGCCGCCAGCAGCTCCAGGCGGTGGCCGCTGAAGCTGACGCCGGCCATGCTGCGGGCGGACTGAGGCCGAACGACAGATGCACAGACGGACAGACAGAGGAGGAGGGAGGGGAGGAGGGAGTCACCGCCGTCGCCGCCTCGGAGCCTCTGCAGCGCTGCGAGCGGAGAGAGCCAGCGGCCGGGGGAAGGGAGCCGGCCGGCGGGGGGCGGGGGGCGCTGGCTCCGCCCGGCTCGTCCCTCCGCCTCGGTCCTAGCGCCGCCCCGGCCCGGCCCAGGGGGAGGTCCGCCCCCCCTTCCCGGCCTGCCTCGGGCGCCCCCGCGCCCCTCACCCAGCGCCCTTGCGCCCGCGCAGATCTGCCCCTCCGCTCTCCAGGCCTGTCCCACCCGCGTCCCAAACCCTCACCTCCCGTGGCCCCAGGCCAGGTGCTCACCCTCTGCCCCAGCCCCAGCCTCACCAACTCAGTTTCATTCTTATCAGCTCCCGGTCCCAATCCCACATCCACTCACTTCAAGCCGGCCCAGCCCCATTCCTTGCTTAATTTCTCTCTATCCGGGCCTCTTCCCCATCCCTGCTCCACCCCTACCCCCAGCCCCCAGCCACAAAGCACACACCCCCATCTGCTACCCAGCCCCACCTCTGAAAGGCCCATTCCTAGTCCACCACGGTCACTGTCCATTGCCATCTGCATCCCAACCCCAAATCCAGCCCCATTTCTTCCCATCCCAGCAGCTCCAGCCTCATTCCCAACTCCACGCTTAACATGCACCTCCCCCACCCCACCCCCCAATTCACGAATCCCCATCCCTAGCTGCACCCTCCTCAGTCCAGCCTATGCTGTTCCCATTCTGATCCCAGTTCCCAAACACACCCCTCCATCCCGGCCTCCTTGACCATTCCCAGCCCAGCTCACATCATTACCCCAGCATTGCCATCCTCTTCCACCACCTCTGCCCCACCCCTGCGCGGAGCCCCCCTCCCAACCAGCTGCCTCCTGGGCCCTGGAACCAGCCAAGGAAATCCTTTGCCTTGTCCCTGAGCCTCAAGCCTCCCAGAGTAGACTTCCTTCTGGAAGTAGCATCTGACTTCTGAGTTGGCCAAGACGAATAAGAGAGTAAGTAGCGTGTGATTGGTCTCCAGCAGCGGTTCCCAGTGCTTGAGAGAACAACCCTCTTAAAATTCAAAACATTTTCCCAGACCCCTGCCTGGGAAACTCTGTGCCCACTATGCCCATGGACCCCTGGCCCTGGCAGTTTCTCCACAGCCCACACTTGGAACAAGGTCCGAGGATTTGGGAGAGGGAGGAGACCCCCCCCCACCCCCACCCCCGCAGGGCTAAAGGGAACTGGGACAAGTAGGCAGAGGGATGTTGGGCCTCAGCCTGAGGCACACAGCTGTTGAGTGGTAACGTCTGCATGGGAACCCACGTCACTGCAGCACACCACATACCCTCGTCACTTCCCCTTCCACATGTAGCGGCTAGCCTGGCCTGGAATTTAGTCAGAGTCGCTCCTCAGGCTATAGCCAGCTAGAGGGTGTAGGGCAGGAGTCAGGGAGTAGGTGTCCTGGACAAGGAGGAAGTGTATCCCGTGCAGTAGCATCCATGGTCAGGCATCCTTGTTACATAAAATTCCTTAAGGCTGAGAGACTGAAGAAAGAGGCTGACAACTACATTATATTACGAGTTTATTAAGGGAACTTACAGATGGGCTGCATCTTGGGCGACGGCAGGATGAGGTGGGTACCCTGTGTGCCGAGGGGCAGACACTAAGGGGTTACTCATACAGGAAAGGGCAGGATGGAGGGGTATTAGGGTGTGACCCTCCCCAGATAAGAGGAAAATGCTTGCTTGTGGGCAATGGTCTATTCCAGGAACCAGGACAAAGTGAAGCATAGGGGAGCGTTGATCGGACAGTCTCTGAGGGGACTCATGGGAAGTGACCTCTGTTCTGGCCCTGATCTAGCTGGCCCCAGCTGAGGGTCCAGCAGCAGTCACCTCACTGAACAGTCAGAAAGCCAAAGGGTTCAGTGACTGATCTGGAATCGTTAAGAAAGGCTCCACTGGGGCTGCTGAGCTGGCAGGATGTGGGCCTAGAGCTGGCTGAGGGGTGTCTTTGCCAATGATGGGGAGAGCCTCCTGAGAAAAAAGCCAGCACTGAGGAAAGTCGCGCAGAGAGATGAATAGAAACTCCTAATAACACCCATGGTACCAGATCCCACCAAATCTGAAGTCATTAACCTTTTCAGTTAAATGAGATAAATTCTCCGTTTCTAATGAAACTAGTTTGAATTGCATTTGAAAGAGTCCTTCCTGATCTACTCAGTCCCCAAGTAATGGTCACTTTTGTCAGTGGCAAGAAGGTGAGTTGACCTTCTAGTCCAGGGGTCCTCAAACTTTTTAAACAGGGGCCAGTTCACTCCCTCAGACCGTTGGAGGGCCGGACTATAGTTTAAAAAAAAAACTATGAACAAATTCCTATGCACACTGCACATATCTTATTTTGAAGTAAAAAAACAAAACGGGAACAAATACAATATTTGTATTTGCATGTGGCCCGCGGGCCGTAGTTTGAGGACCCCTGTCCCCCAGGCTTTGATTGGCACCCAGGCTCGTCCTGGTGGCCCCCCTGAGCACTCTGTAGAGACCCCACTGCACAATGGCCCCACCTCCCAAGTTCTCCTCAGGCTCCCAGCAAGCTGCTTGTCCTCTCAGCTCCCCTGGAACTCTACACACACCCCGACCCCCCCACCCCACCCCACCCCGCACCACCACCAACTGGGGAGGAGCCCCACCTCCACTCTCAGGGTTGGCTTTGGACTCCAGTGTGGCTGCTGCGCCCCTTAGCCCACAGCCTCAGCTCCCTTCCCGTCGCATGGCCACATGGAGGGCTGCGGGGCTGTGTGCATCTGTGCGTGTGCCAAGGCCAGCAGCACTGAGGCAGCACCAGTCACCAGTTCCTGCCTCTGTTCTCTGCAGCTGGTGAAACAGTTGCTTGCCCTCCACTGCCTCTCCCTGCTGACTTCAAATGCGCTCCAGCCGCTCAGAGCTGGAAAAAGCCTCTCTCCTGCTGGCTGTCTTTCCAGTTCCCACTCAGACCCTGCCCTGGGCTCTGCCCCCTCAGCTGGGGAGACTGATCCCCAAGGGTGCTAATGGCCCCCCTGCCTGACGCCGGGACATTTCCCAGTCACCATCGCCCAGCCTGCACCCAGCTTTGGAACACCGTGATCCCTGCGATTCTGTGGGGACAGGCTGAGGTGCAGTGCGGAGCAGACCCTCTGATGCTTGGCCCCACAGACCTGGGCCATTCTGGCTGGTGGTTCTGGACAGGCTGTTTCCCCTCTCTGAGCCTCCCCGTCCCATACCTGAAACATGCCATTGATGCGATTTCTCTTAAGTGCATTTTGAGGATTAGATGAAATTGAGTGATTGCTCTGTGGGTGCTGGCAGAGGTGACCATTCAGAACAGGTACCCCATGCTTGCTTTTACTTCCTTCCATCTAGGAGAGCCCCTCTTTCTGAGGTTCAGCCCCAGCTCTCTGCTCTTCACTTTCCCCTTACATTCTCCCACCTTCCCTCTTCCCAGCTTCCCCCTCCACCCCTCTTGGCACTCAGCTGAGTGAGTGGACCACAGCCCAGGCTTCAGAGAGCTGTCTGCACTCTCTTGACTGCACACTCCTTCTACATCCTCCCCCCTCCGCCTTGTCCCTCTAACCCAGCTCTCAGCTAAACTGATCTGGTCAAATGTTACCTTGTTGCGAAACGCCTTTGGACGCCTGGCTTATCTGCCTGCTTGACACTGTTGGCAGTTTCTGGAAACACTCCTGCCCAGCCCCAGCCACCCCACCAGACCACCAGGCCGACAGGCCCACAACTCTCGTCTTTGGCGGCTCCTGCTTCCTCTGCCCAGAGCTGTGATGCTGGTGCTTCCTGGGCTCTCCTCTCTTATCTATGCTGGGGCCCTGGCTGGCCTCACACTGCACTTGGCCCACATTTATTATTTTTTTAAATAGGATTTTAAAAAGAAATCTTAGTTGCCAACATTAAAAAACCAGATTTCACATAAAGGTCTGGATCTCTGGATGCTGTTAATAAACTGGCAGATCAGGCCACAGCTGGCATTACCATGTGGCAGCACGAGGCTGAGGCGGAGGGTGGCTGCCTGGGAGAAGCCTCTCGCCAGAGGACTCCCAGCAGCACTCACCATCCACCCCTGTGATCTTACTCGCTTGTATCCATGGAAACCAAGTGTGGACTGAGGGCTTCATGGTTCAAGAGAAATGGTAGGGAACACATTTCATTGTGGAAGTGGAAGATACTGTTTAATATGCTCCGGACGTCTGTGTTGAAAGAAAACCCGTATCCCTCCTGCTTCTCTCTTGGTAGACCTGCCTGGGTCCAGCTCCCAGCGTCCACAGGCATCCGTTAGAAACATCTGTGATGACTGCCCCAGACCTGTCCCAAACTCATTCCAGAACTGAACCCAAGGTGAATCCAGACTTGAATCTTCAGCTGCTCCCTGAATGTCTCCTACATGTTTCACAGGCACCTCATTCAGTCTTTTAACAAACATTTTTTGGCCTTTCACTATGCGCCAGGCACTGACAAGACATCATGAAAATAACACAGGAAGCCCTGTACTCATTGCCCAGGGTCCTCAAGAGAACAGACCCTTCTCTTCTCTTAAAGGGGAGGGGCCCGAGTTATCGAGAACACCAACTTCAGATGTTCATGCCAAGGAGCCTGAAGGACAGGTGGCCATGGATATGCTGCGTGGTCCTGGCCTAGTTTGGGCCCTCTCTTCAGTCCCTTTCCAGTCCAGGCTTTGGGCCGGAGAGATGACAATCCCCCTAGGGTGGTGGAGGGCACCAGTGAGAAGCAAGAGCCCCCACATAGGTAAGGCCAACACCAGAGTCTCCAGGTGTCCAGGTACCAGGCAGAAGTGAGCCTCCCATTTCAACTCTTCTCTGAGCTCCACACCAGGCTGGACCAGGATCCCCTTCTGTGGGTACCGTGGCCCAGCATATGGAATTCCCCTGCCTCTCCTCTGGCTGACCAAGAGCCCTCCTTGTCCCCATCACAAGGACCATTAGGATGGTTAGCCCTAAGAAAACCAGCTTAATCTCTACCCTGATACCTGCCTCAAATCCCACCACTCCTCATGCATAGGGAGGAAGCGCACACAGCACACAACTGGATACAGGTTTATTGTGGCACTGGAT